GATTAGATGACGATATAGTACAAAAAAACATGTTTTTGTTGAATTCCTCTTATTACGAAGTCTATTTATAAGGCAATAAAGATAATTAAATTTATCCATTATAGAAATGAGGTCTAATTAGTACTAAGTAATTAATGCAAAGATAAATATTTGTGGTTCTCCTATCTGTTAAAAAACAGCGTAGTGTTATTCCATTTTGACTTACTTTTTCACGTCGTATTATAATCCAATCCAATTAAAATTGCTTAGCTTATTTTACCTATATTCAGTGGAATGTTGGAAAACTATTGCATTCTTCTTCTGGCGTCGGTTATCCCTTCAGAAGCCTCAATTTTTTGCTCGTGTTCTAAACCGAGATGTCAGCTTCTTTGAAATAGGAAAATATTTCCGTTATAGACTGCAAATAAAGAAAGCAGCATTATTTGTGTTGTCTCCTCTCCTCCATGTCACGTATGAGAAAGAATGTCTTCCCTATAGTATATATTCTGGTAATACCCTTTATTCAAAGTTCAAAGGATTTTGAAAGTTCGTTTAGTTATGGATAGTTTCCAGAGAAGAAGTGATATTTTCAGATAGACATGGTTAATAAAAAAAAATATATTCCAAATAGGCTCCCGCAAGAGTTAAAGATTAGATTATATCAATCATGCTTTGTCTTCTTTTGAAAACAAAGCGAATATCAGGAACAATATTGTAATGTTCTTGGGTTTAACAAAATTAACTTCTAAGACTGATAACGACAAAAAACTACTTTATTTACACTTATTATTAAAGAACTTAAAAACACTATTAAATTATTACTAAACTTAGGTGATAAATTATTCTATTAGTTACACTACTGTTCATATATCACTATTCATTGCGCTATTTATTTCACTGCTATCACTGTCAATTTATTTCTCGATTCACTTCTGCAACGGTCAATTTATTTCTACCCCCTCTCGGCAATCGTCTCTTCCTTTAAATACTGTTTTGTTTCCTTTCGGGAACCTTCTCGAAACGTCCGGAAAAGTTTCTTTTTCTTTGAACTGTTTAACTGCTTTCCCAGAACTCAGATACGACACATACATTTACAAATACGGCGCACATGAAAAAAGGCGCCCGCGGCTAGTCGGCGATTCGATAAGGCGCTCATACATACGTATGCCCAGTCGCACACAAACACGCTCGTGCTCGCTGCAATATGCTCATATTAAATACGGGAAGAAGGAGGACTTATCTTGTCAAGGCTGCTTGCTCAAGGTTTTGAGTACTTGTGTATATCTTGTTTTCGATATAGGCTCCTAGTGATACGAAAACGAAACAAATTCATGAAAGTGCAACTAAAATGTACAAAAAAAAAATAATATTCTTTATAACAAATTAAAAATGTGGGACTTAAGTTGCAAATTGAATTGTTCAACAACTATCTGGCGGATTGTTTTCATTTTTGGTGCACTACTTCTCATCATCATCATAAGACTGGTTGGACACGTATCTCCACTCTTTCCTATCCTGAGCTAATCTTCACATTTCACTGAAACTAGAACAACGCACATCCTTAACTATTTGCGGACAGTAATCTAATCTAGGTCTACCTCAACCCCTCCTAATTTCCGTTTCTACCTCTTATATGTCTCTGACTAGACCTTCATGCCTGAGAAGGTGTTCTACCAACCTATCTTGTCAATTTTCAATTGACTTCCACAGACTGTTCTCCTATTTTTTCTAATACCTCTTCTCTTCTAACCTTCTCTATCCACGGTATCCTTATTATTCTCTTGTTGTAAGCGTTGAGATTTAGGATAAATATCTACTTGGTGGAGCAACATAAGTGTCCTGGTCAGGATCAAAACTTTTGCTCGGCAATTCGTTAGCGTACAAGGATGACAATTTGAACTTCTTTCCAACTTTGCCTGCTAACTCGTCCTTGAGGGGATTGAAACTAAGGATTCCTGCGATACTAAGAGCAGTTACCATTTCTTGGGAGGTGTTGGTTGTATTATTGTACAATGAACATTCTAGTCTATTTGCAACAAAAGTTATTTAACTAAGACAAAATGGCGATCAAATAACTTTTTGGGTCATTTGGCTGTACGATCTTCATCAGTTTCCCTTATTTTTAATGAAAACTAACACAAAATCCGATTTGGGCTACTAATTGTTGTATTATTAGTGAGGCATCCGGCCGTTTCTGTTTCCAATAACATTTTAAAGGATTTAAAGTAAAAAGCGGCACATAGGAATTTTCTGTATGTATAATACTACTGGTCTGCTGTATCTCTATAGAAGAATAAAATAATTCGAAGTTGTCTGTATTCTGTCGAAACTGCCAGACGCGGGTCGCGATTTCGATCTTTTTGAATCTGATCAGCGCGTCGCAGGCAGCTACGACAGAACACAGACCAACTTTTACCTGCTGCCTTAACAGCGCGTTTTAGAAAATATGACAAATGGCGCGGTAAGCGCGATCTGTAGTATATGCTACATTTTAGGATTACGTATGCTCCAACAAGGTCCATTTAAATATATGGATATCTACTTGCTGAAACGAATCCCGACGTAGCTCACCTCAACGTGGTAGACACGTTACCATAATCGAATAAAATAATTCGACCTTGTTGAAGCATACGTAATTCTAAAATGTAGCATTATACTACAGATGGCGTTTACAGCGTCATATGTCGTATTTTCTAAAACGCGTTGTTAAGGCAGCAGGTAAAAGTTGGTCTGTGTTCTGTCGGGCTGCCTGCGACGCGCTGATGAGATCCAAAAAGATCGAAATCGCGACCCGCGTCTGGCAGTTTCGACAGAATACAGACCACTTCGAATTATTTTATTCGATTATGGTAACGTGCCTACCACGTTGAGGTGAGCTACGCTGAGATTCGTTTCAGCAAGTAGATATCCATATATTTAAATGGACCTTGTTGAAGCATACGTAATCCTAAAATGTAGCATTGTACTACAGATGGCGTTTACAGCGCCATTTGTCGTATTCTCTATAGAAGAAGTATACTAATTCGATAATGTGCCAAACCCTATTAATTACTTCTAGAATATCCAACTTACTGCATGCATTACAACTGTATCTGTGAGTTTCAGTTTAATTTTAATGTTTTTTTACTTGTTAGAGATAGATTTGCTCATCATTATTAAACCTGTTTTATTTTCCATACTTTTAAATATATACAAGGTAGTCAAATATTTCTTGAATATTCTTTTGTAAACAATAATAGGCCGATTTTGTCCCGATAGTCAGGTTCTGCGAAGGTCTTCCATGACAACTACCTTTGTTAATTTTATTATTGATGCTCTTCAATTACAGGAATTTCACAGCTCGAGGCAAAGTTATACGTTGTTGGGTTTTCCCCTAATTTGCTTCTGGCTCCTATTCTTTTGTTGCATACCAAGTTCTTCGTTGTGCCTGTAGTTATAATCCGTTATTTCATAGTTAATAATTCATTTGTAAATAAATTCTGTATACCTATAGTGTTTTATATTGACTTTCATTCGCACCGTTAAAGTCAACATTTTGAGAAAATACTGTTCGTGATTTCACGGCAAACACTGTGTGTGAATTGGGCTTATAAAACATTTATATGTACACAATGTTCTATGTACACATGTGTGCACGTTTATAATATAATTAATTTGATGTTTTAATCTATAAAGGCATTACCATAAACGCCGGGTTTCAGCAACCAGATATTCGCATTGGTGAAACCGCGACTGACAGATAGTATTCAATAAAGCTCAAAAGCAAGTTAGTAGTGTTTATTTTGAAAAGTAATTTTTGCAATATCAAGCATTACTGAGAATAACAAAATTAGATGTATTACCCGTTTCCGGTAGTACTAGCCCCAAAAAAAATTTTCATGCAGTTAAACAAATTTGGCACTTTTGTGGTTTACTTCCCACATTTTTAAGAATAGTAGGTTGCGGTTTTCGCAACTGTTTGCTATTTTTATAAAATTAAAAATTGCACCAGTAGAATTTTCACAGCTCTTTTGCCTTTTGAGATATGTACAGATTGGTACAGATTGGATTAAAGAGTATCACCTTTGAGCTATCTCAAACATCTTTAAACTAATCGAAGAAATAATAACACATTCTTATAGATTTTTTCCGTAGAAATCAGTGGCGTAGTCAGCTTCCTTCTTGCATCTTCCGTTACATATAATTACACGTTTTTCGAAAACAAGTTCAGACTTTATGATTTTCTAAAATTTTCTTAGAATAATATAACCTAATAAGTCCATAGACAGAGATAACTGCGAATACCGACGTTCAGTTTTTACTATAGGGCGATCATCAAATAACAGGCAGTAATAATTCAAATAGTGCTAGAGGGTTACAGAGAGCGAAGGGCAAGGGGATGTAAAAATCAGTAGCGGTTCGTTAAACGGGGCCATCAACTTTCTCTGCCTGTTTCTTGCAATTTTGCCGTTATGTGCGAGGATTGTTGAAAACCCAATACCAACAATAGTTTGGTAGTCTTTTGGTATTTTGCGAGACATAATTTAACAATTTTAGGTAAAAATAGTCACTACTGTATCATATAACGTTTGGTAAAAGGAGGAGGGGTACAGAAACATTGTACGGAATGGGAGAAGTCGGATCAAAACATCTTCTATGCGTAAATAGACATGTAGACATTAAGAGGAGAAGGGGTGAAATTACCTACAACAGCATTATTTCCAAGAGATATAGATGGAATTTGCATTGAATGTAAAATATAATCAACCGAAAAAACTTAGCCTAACCTAACCTAAAGAGAAATAAAAGAATTCAAATTTCTATTAAACTGTAGAGGTGCAGTAACGAAAATGTAACAAATTCAAAAAAGCTTCTTAACCAATAATATTGTAGGAAAGGTAATTTTACTGTTTGGCATGACTTACTATTTTCACTATTATTTGAATTTTAAATTTGTTTGAATATATTTATAATNATAATAATATTACTTATATTATCGTATTCATGTATGCACTTAATTAATAAGTTGTCTTTTGTTATAGGATCAAATACTGGAGATAAAGGAAGTCTTAATTACAGATCGAGATTCCACCGCAGTTAATCACTACGACATACGTATTTTAAATGATAATTTGGGTATTTTAGAAGAAATATGCATGATTTACGAAGATGATAGAGATGCTGAACCCCAAACTGCAATTCATTGTAGTGAGTATTAACTGTTTTTTCTATTATATCTCTTTATATAATCGTTTACTTGTTTGAAAAGGCATACATTACCTAATGTAAAGGGCTGAAAATGGAACGCTACAGTCAATTACTTTTACTAAATTCACTACAAATACTGGCAAATCTCCCCAGACGGCGTTTACTTGATATCTGTAGTTATTTAGTAATAGATACCGTTGTTAACTTACAGTCGAAACTGTCCGCAGTTCACTAATGACAACAAAAAGTTTCTACAGAATACTGATCACGAACTTGTTATGTGTGGGAATTGCTTTAAATTACTGTTATATTTATTCCATTATCTAATAATAATGATCAACGTTTTACTGTTTAAGACGCAAACTAAAGTGGGTATTATTTTTATTGAATTCTCTTAAATTTACTCACTCAACTATCATTCAGAGAATAACCTATCCCTCCAAATTTAGGAATATGTCCGAGCCTTAGTAATGTTGTATGGTTGAGGTTCCCAAAAGTGGACTCGCCTGTTACACTTATCAGAGGCGGTCGGGGTAGCTCAGCTGACATGAGTGTTAAGCGTCAGTAAGGCGGCAATTATCCCTTGAACCCAAGAATGAATTTCGTAAAAATTTTGAAGCATTAAAGAAAGTTATAGAACTACCAAAAGCATTCTGAAACAATGCAGAATTGCCTACAATATTTTAAACTACCTGTCAGGAATTTTTAGAAAATTTTAAGAAATTATGGAAAGTTCTAAAATTTTCTACACCATTTTATCACACACAGCTTTCAAATATTGTGTTCTTCGTTACTCAGTTACTGAATTTATTCTAAGACATTTTCGGACTTCTTATAGTGATTAATGTTACGAATAAATCTTACCACCCACGATCAAATACTGCTACTAAATTCTCGCATTATCAGTGGACATTATTCTTATTCCTACTTAGGCTGACTCTTTTAAAGAGACATAGTTTTCGTTTCTTAGCAAATTTTGTAATGGTGTTCTTGAGGCTCACAGTTCCTTGTAGTATAAAAGACAAATGCAAGTATAGTACGTATTAATGTTCGATACATTTCCAGGGAAAGCTTACGTAAATCGTAAAGCGTTGCATTCAATTTAAATGCGACAAAATAAATTTGATAAGGGAATAAGGGAGTTAAGCTCGGAAATAAATGCATCCTGATGGAATGCTTCTTCAAGTGGATTTAAAAAAGACCACAAAATAAACTTATTTATTGATACTACTATTAAAATCGACATTTCAGTGTGATCCTTACTGTCCCTATGCTATCGTACCAATATTCTAATCTGATTTACGAAAAATAAATCAAGAAAAAATTAAATACTTCCTTTTTAATGGATATGGAATTAGTTTTCCTTTCTACAAGGACTAGCGAATTCAACACGCAGATGCATTTTGTCCAGCTACACCATTGGTCAATATTTCCTGCAAACATCACGTTTCAACTGTTCACTCTAACCGCTGTATTTGACAGTAATTGCATTGCATTTCACAGTATTATGCCCCTGTTCTTGATATTTTTAACAGAAGATCGTTTTATGTTTTATATTTTATGACCTTTAAACGCTGATTGAATTTTGACTACGTATTTAAAATTCAGAGCAGATATTTTGGAAGCGACTAAAGTTAATATTTATTTTAGTTTCATGTTCTGCTATGCTGCTCGAAGTAGTATCTACTTCTAAACGCAGTATAAAGTATATTTAAAAAAATTGTGTATTTTTCTTATTTTTAAACGTAATTTCCACCAACGTTAATATCCTCGTCCTAAGGGTGAGTGTGCTTATTTATTTTTTATTTGGATGTTCAAGCTTACAAATTGTTTGACCCCTTCAGTGTTTATGAATTTCTTACTTCGTAATTGCCCTTTAATTGGGCCAAAAAACGGAAAACCTGATGGAGAATTCTGGACTGTAAGAGGGTCTTCCACATAACACAAATAATGTTGTAAATTCGATTTTCAGAAGGAGGATTAGGAACTTCTAGCTGATATTGATAGATAAGAACAATCTGCACCATCCTGTTTTGTCATTTAAGTATACATACTAGTATTAATATATTTTTCGGCGAACCGTTGCACCGCGAATGGGCGAACCGTTGCACCGCGCGAACTGTCAAACGTTGTACCGCGAATCGGCGAACCGTTGCACCGCGCGAACTGTCAAACGTTGTACCGCGAATGGGCGGACCGTTGCACCGCGCAAACTGCCAAACATTGCTCCGCTAATCGACGAACCGTTGCACCGCGAATTGGTGAACGGTTGCAGCGCGCGAACTGCCAAACGTTGCACCGCGAATCGGCGAACCGTGGTACCGCGAATTAGATAAAGACCAGTAAGATCTCTAAATCTGACCCCACTAGATTTTTACCTGTGAGGTTGTCTGAAAACTCAAATTGACTTCAATAAATCGAAAACTGTTGAAGAATTAAAAAACCGAATCAGAGCTGAAATACAACAAATCCAGCCACATACCATTGAACCACGCATCAGGAAACCGCTGCACCGCGCGAACTGCCATACGTTGCACCGCGAATCGGCGAACCGTTGCACCGCGCGAACTGCTAAACGTTGTACCTCGAATCTGCGAACCGTTGCACCGCGCGAACTGCTAAACGTTGCACCGCGAATCGGCGAACCGTTGTACCGTGCATCGGCCAACTACTCGACCGCGTGAACTGCCATACGTTGCACCGCGAATCGGCGAACCGTTGCACCGCGCGAACTGCTAAACGTTGTACCGCGAAACAGCGAACCGTTGCACCGCGCGGACTGACAAACGTTGCACCGCGAATCGGCGAACCGTGGTACCGCGAATTAAATGAAGACCAGTTAGGTTTCTGGCCCTATCCCTACTAGTATTTTACCTGTGAGGTTATCTGAAAACTAAGGTTTACTTCAATAAATTTAAAACTAGTGAAAAATTAAAAAACAGAATTAGAGCTACAATACAACAAATCCAATCACAAACCTGGGAACCGCTCATCAGGGAACCGCTTCAGCGTGCGAACTGCCAAACGTGGCACTGCGAATCGGAAAACCGTGATACCGCGAATTAGATGAAGACGAGTTAGGTCTCTAATCCTGACCCCACTAGATTTTTACCTGTGAGATAGTCTGAAAACTAAAGGTTTGCTTCAATAAATCGAAAACTATTATAGAATTAAAAAACTGAATTAGAGCTGAAATGCAACAAATCCAGCCACAAACCTTTGAACCGTGCATCAGAAAACCGCTGCACCGCGCGAACTGCCAAACGTTGCACCGCGAATCGGCGAACCGTTGTACCGCGAATAGGCGAACCGTTGCACCGCGCGAACTGCCGAACGTTGCACTGCGAATCGACGAACCGTGGTACCGCGAATTAGATGAAGACCAGTTAAGTCTCTAGACCTTACTCTACTAGATTTTTACCTGTGAGGTTATCTGAAAACTAAAGTTTACTTCAATAAATAGAAAACTTTTGAAGAATTAAAATACAGAATTAGAGCTGAAATATAACTAATTCAGCCACAAACCCTAACCAAAGTATTACGAGACTTTCAATATCGACTTGCCTATTGTCAGAAAGTTGATGGTCAGCAATTTGAAAAAAACAAACCCTTCAATTTCAAATGTGTTAGTTCCAAGCTATTTGAATGAAATCATTCGTTCTATCGATAACTACTGACTTTGGGTACCTATAGAACATGGTACATGAAACATGATAAAAATTTGATGCAGAATTCAAAAATGTACTAAAAAATAGGTGCTTCTATTTGCAAAAGTAAAGTCGGTGGTAGTCGCTTATTTTTGGGCCACCCCGTTTCCATAAAATTACGATGAGAAGACCCGCAGCTAAAAATTAAGGCCAACGTGTTCGAACATTTTTCCAAAAAACAAATCCCTAATTTTAAATGAATTTGTTCCAACCCACGGGTCCTCGCTGTATATAAACAAAAATATCAAAGCCATACAGGGTCTTTAGCTCTGACGATTTTATTTGACTATTCTCAGAAACTAATATACATATTTGTTATTTAAAATTGATTGGTGATAACTTCATTTATGCAAAACTTAACAGCGAATAAATATACCTATACATCGTTTGAATGCCTTTGTAGAAATTTGCAGGTTGTCGTGGGAACAAAAGGCCTGTTAAACTGAATCTAGGCTTAGCATTCTGCCTGAAAGGCATCCAATCAATACGTATTAATAAATTTGTTGGATAGTGTTCCACCCATTATATTGTTAGCGTGGATCGTGATTTTGGACTGTTTGGTTCTCATCAGCACACGACATAGACAACTCGACAGAAAACCGACCAACTAACCTGTACTTTTGAACCCTACAACGACTAATTGTACAGATGGCAGATGGATATTTTTAATTTCTTTAATTGAGAGTCTAATAGATTATACGTTTGAAGATCACAACTATTGTTTTGACAATAAATATACAAAGACTGCTATAAAGAAGACTATGGGTTACTAGTCTTATGGAACATTTTCTTTATGCTACCTACAAATACAGTTTTTTAGTTGAAATAACGGTAGTTACCTAAAGAGAATATTTGTGTACCAACTTAATATTTTCAGCAGGTTATCTTTTAAATTTAAAATGTTTGCTTTGATGTTCACTGCGTTCGAATAGAAATTCCATTACATATATTGCAGTCGAATTTAATCGGAATTTGTTCTTGGAATGTCGCAGATGTAGATAACGATGACAAACGACGTTTGGGAACCAATAAGCATTGAAAGTACCTATTATTCGTTATAACAGAATTCACTTACAAATGTTAACACGCTCAGCTTGGCTGAGTTACCACTTTTTATAGTCATTTATTGAAATGGGTTTCTTTCATGGAAAACGGTGCCTTCTTTACCTCAAAATGTACATTTAGATTAAATTTTGCATTGGCTGAATTTACAGTTATTTACTTTTAGCTCATGTGAACTCAATAAGGTCTCATTGGTTTATTACACGACTCTACGGTGTATCATCGTCATAA